CCTTGCTTCAGCACCCTTCAGCTTTGCAACTAGCTTTGCAACTAGCCACAAGCAACAACTCGCCTCAACCTCGAGGACGCGTTCAGCTCGGATCACCCTCAAGCGCACCCTACCATCCTTCAGATGTCGGAGCTTCGCAGATCCCGCACGCAGCAGCAGCGTCGGGTGGCACGCAGCGGACTTGGCCAAGTGGGCGGCCCAAAGACAGCCCAAGGAACCGGCACCCAAGACATACATGGCCATGAAGGAATATCACATCAAACAATTTAGTCTTAGCTGCTTGATACAGGTCTTAGACTAGATAATTTCGGGGTAGTAAAGACAGTATAGATCTTAAACTCAGATAACAAAAAGAACTTGATGTTGACAACGCCAGACAGAAATGCACACGCGTCGATGTCTCCAGGACATTCATCAATTTGTGCACAAGCTTCTGGATGTACAATGCTGTTCTTGACAACTTTCTGACTACTATAGTTTCATACTGGCTGCATCAAATGTATGTTTGTTTAAATTGTTTGTGGCTTGTTCTGCGACCACTTCACCTTTGGAAAGACACACGGGTACAAACGATAATGATGACAACATTCGTCTAACTTCGGCTGTGCCAAATGCCAAAAAACACGCGGATGAATTGGTTACAAACATAGCAAAACAAAAACATAACAACTGAGAACAACAGCTGTCTGGAATAACGAATCATATCATATCTGACATTGCCTGGTGAGTCAGTTCATCTTTGCTATCTCTCTCCCTCTCTCGCTCTGTCTGCCTGTCGTTCTTTCTTCCTTGCTTTCTGTCCTTTTTCTTCTCTCTCCCTCTCTCTCTCTCGTTCTCTCTTCCCCCTCTACTGTAACTGTCACAGGCATATCGTGTTCATCCGACTCAGAAGGCTTAGCCACAGTCATATACCTTCTGACGCTTGAAATATATCATATCCACTGATCCAAAGATCACTTGGAAAAAAGAACATACTGTGCCTCAAGGCACGTAACCATAAGATCTGTACACATATTGACAGTGCTTGCATTGGCGCTTGCCCTGACGCATGACAGCGGCTACAAGCGCTGAGGTCAAGTCACATCAGCAGGCGAAAAGTCACATCACATGCATGACACACCGCATTGTAAGGAAGTCACAACAGGTGGAAAGAAGTCCCATCAAAACATGTAACCCCCAATGGCGTGGCGACGCCCAAACAAGAATTTACAAAGAATACTGTTGGCCAAACCCTTGCCTGTTCAATCAATGCTCCCTCTTCCCAAAGCAACTGCAATTTACAATCTAATTATATACATCCAATGACCCACCACAATGTTCCGCTGACATCTAGTGCTAAACAGTACCTTTGCACCAAGGATCCTGCTATCACTGATTTCGAAAACCGATGCAACAAAGGTTGTTGAATTTGTCACACAAGCAAGCACCGCATGGGCACAGCACATTAACATCAGTTTACATCACAAGTATATAGCAACAATAAACACACATAAACATGGCTATAAACATAGATAACTCAATGCCCAAGGGCATACCATCTTGATACGACTTTGTTCCAGTTGATACGACTTGAAGCGAGGCCCCAGTAGCGTTGTTCTCCCTTTTCTCGACAGCGAATCATCCATGTCGCTCATTGATGGACTTCTCGGCAACGGTGTTGTCTGGCATGTGCATAGAGACGCAAATTTGACGGATCTGTCCTGGAAGAAACCTCTGCTGCCTGTTCTTGTACACTTCCACGTTAAGTGGATCAAGCTGAATAGTCTTCTCCTCTGACCATGTTGTGAATGCTGGGGAAGCGCTTTCTTGGCCAACATAGTTGGCCAGCAAGGAAACTCGGGATAGGGCCGCTAGACGCCACTAGGGCCTTTCTAGCGAGCTGCCAGCCAATGAGGCCAATGAGGGCTTCCATTGCCAAGGCGATGTTGGCTCGAAGGAAGCCACTGATGAGGCCCAACCATCTTCGTCACTGCCGTCGCAGAAAGCCGTGAGAATGGTGTCGGAGGATGCCTGTGTGAGGAGGTCTCCTTCTGGTGGAAGGTTGTAGTCAAGTGCTTGGATGTGTCCTATTGTCTTGTGATTGGTAATGTGATGATTAAAGGTTTGATGATCTGATGATATCTGAAGTAGTTGCTGGTAAAATTCCATCATGACGAGGTGTGTGTGTGTGTGTGAGGAGGTGGATTGTGGTGAAATGAAGTGAGCTCATCTGTGATGTGGATGACCAGATCGAGTGCTGTTTTCGATGCCCCAAGGTGGTTCATTGGTGACGTTGCCATTGGTTGCGCAGAAATGCGCATCAATTGGTAACGTGGTTTCTGACACCTGCACATTCTGAGGTCGCCTTCACAGATTGCACCGCTTTACCGCGAGCCGCCGCGCCGAAAAGGCGGCTCACACGGCCGGTCAACACACGGTCAGGCGGGCCAACATCCAACGAAAAGGAAACAAAAACACCGATGACACCAAATGAAATACCAGATCAAACATTATCCCAACGATTGCTCAGCTGGCCCACAATGAGCATGGCAAGCTGGGGAAGTCATGGATGCCGAAAGCATCGGTCGCTTCCGATCGGTCCGCCGAAGCAAGCGACGCTTCGGCAGGTCAGACGCAGTCGGCACCACATGGACGCATGGAGACGCATGGTGATGCTTGCTGCTCCCCTGCTATTCGGACCACATGGAACCCCTAAAACCACTGGGTTGTAGAGGGAAATGGTCTTCGACCGGGTATTTCCATGTTAGTTTGCGGGAGAGTACGTGTTACATCGTCACTGCAATGCTGCATCATGCTACAGCTGTGTTTACATCGTCCAGCTGCGGCAAAAAAAACGGCACAGAAGGTCACTCAGAAACATCGGCAGGGCGAAGCGGCGCAGAAGAGCTCGAAGCACCGTGCAATCAAAGTCTACCTTGAATCGCTGTGCTACCAGTCATGCAAAGGAATCCCAAGCCTTCAATAGGAAGTCGCAATGCGACTTCTCAGAGGTAATAACACTTGCGTCAGACCAGATTTTCCCCGTCTTCGTGAAGATGGCCCTCTGCATCTTCTGCTACCCACTCTCACTGCTTTCTGGCGTCCATAGCTCTGTTTGTCTGCGCCACAGTCCGTCTTTTGAATCGAAGCTTGGGGCTTGGAACCACCAAACCATGTTTTGTCTTGGGATCTGCAAAAGTCCAAGCTTAAGAATGTTTAAGCCTTAAGCTTCCCAGAGTCAAAGAATCGACACGTCCCGATACACACGAAAACCACATCACCATTGGTTGCACATCATCAAAAACATCAATATCAGCTACATTGTTGTGGGGTATACATGTTTGTGGTGCTTCCAGAATGTATACACCACAAGAATGTATACACCGCAACTCAACACAGACCAGACCACATCACCAGCACCGATATGAACCTTCATCTCACCTCTTCACATCATCTCACCTCTTGTCGCACAGGGGAGTGGACCTGGGATGTGAAGCCCCCAACATTTGTATGACATGTTTGTGGTTTCAGAGGTGAACGTAAATACAGGTACTGTACCTGAAAAAACGGAGTGCATCTGGTCCGATTTCGGGGCGATTGCACGGGATGCTTTCCCAACAGGTTCCGATCCTTGCAGTTGCACTGGCGTTTGAAGTCCCGTGAAAACGACTCGGGTCTACATCTTTCAGAAGGATGTAGACGTGCAGCTCTGAAAGACGGTCAGCCTCGCTGTAGACTGACATCATTCAATTCATATGATTTTAAGTCTTGATACATGGTCCTGCTGCTTACAAGTGATTTTTCCAACTTCCTGGACTCTATGTATATTATAATAAATACCCCTTCTTGGAATACAGGCTCGTGGCTGGGTGTGTTGAGTGTGAAACGAACTGCCTGCTGTTTGTTACATAATCAATTTCTCAGCCTGAAAAGGATTATACACACAGTCATATCCCGCAATTCACGCATACTACACCGTCAATAACTTCACTTCTGACCAATACGTGTACAGGCATTACAAGGCCTTTATACCCAGGGCAAAGCCAAACACATATTCTTGAATATGTCTACAGAAGTGCATCCTCGACATGCAGGTTATGTTCATGGCCATCAAATACAGCGAGAGCATGATAATTCAAACGCCTGCAGTCTATTGGTCGGGTGGGACTTCCCCAAATGTGTATATCGTTGCTGTTTTTGTTGGGGGGGCGGGGTGTTTGGAGCTTATACACTACAAAGGATTCTACGGACGAGCCTCGTGTAGCCTACACTCACCATGCAGAAGGTTGCCTATGAACTTTTCTGTAGGTGGAGCCTACGCAGAGATGCCTATGCGCGCAAATGGCAAACGGCAAAGACTTGTTTTGCTTCTGCTCAGTTGCACCAACCCTACGCAAATCAGTTGTGTAAGTGTCTCCACCTACAGCCTACGCAAGCCTACGCCAAGCCACCAGTATCAAGTAAACAGTCTACGCAGCAATGAAGGAGTTCACTCATCTTCTTTCCATCATCTCACACAAAGAAACGCTACTCTACTCACATCAGCGGCGCAGAGACTGCCCAAAGAACAGGCACCCATTGGCCATCAAATCTGTGGGATTTATGCCCAATATGGCCATCAAATACACTGTTCTTAAACTTGTTCTCTGATTTCCGATGTGACAGGACAGATTCTTTTTGGAAAAAAAGTTGAAACTGAGAAACTCAGATCTCCATTAATCGACTGATTTTTCTCAACTGTATACTGTACACTGTATACCTTATAGTACCAGCGACCACCGAGATCTACACCTCAATTCACTGAACTAGCGAGCAGCATTTTACCTTTGGTGCAAGATACATATAACTTGGCTGGCACGAAAACATCGGGAAAGCTGCTCCGGAACACGGCACAAGATCGGCTCAAAATGCAAAGCGCGCAAAGATTTATTTATTGTGTTTTGGTCGCATTTGTGATTCGAGCATTGGATTTCATTGGCAGGAGTTCCTGCACCCAGAAGCAGTCTTTGTGCTTGAGAATTTCAACAAAAGCTGCGTCTCAAAAGAGGCATGCTGCTGTCCCGCTGAAGCCTCCAGAACAGCGCTACCCAAAGGGCATGTTCACAAAAAAGAGACACATCAGAAGCTGGAAAGCTGCGTGTGCAGCACACATTGATATAGTAGAAGAGTGATAGGGATAACATGGAATAAATATAGTAATATATATTATATAATCTATTTCGTTGCATCGATCCTGATTGCTAAATAGAACCTGCATGCCTATTGTCACAAATGTATCCATGGCATCCAACAAAACATCGCTCGACGCGAGCTCGAGTCTGACAAGGCCCATGTTGGCATCCGAACAAAAAGGAAGTGTGCCACCCCTTCGTTGATCATCAGCTGCAAAGGTCCCATCAGCTGCAAAGGTCCCATGAAATCAGTTGCACAGGTCCCATGACATCATCAGCCGGACCTGGTTGCTGAGTCGCTGCTCGCTGCTGCGACCACCTTGTTATGACCTCGCTGCCGCGCGGTTCTCGCCCAACCGCCGGTCATCGGTCGCGGGTTCCACCCAAAAGATTGAGGCGAAAATGGACGGTCCAAAAGTAGGTCCAAAGGGATTAAGGTCACAACATGTTCATACATGTTCTCATTTGGCATTCATTTGGCCAACCCCGGACCTAAAGTAGCGGGCCAAAGGCATCCAAATGCCCTCAATGAACGGCCGTTTCCAGACGCGAACGACAGCCGTGGTGGTGGGTCCACCCCGACCATCCGGTCCACCCCGACCCTCTGGCGATGCCCGGCCCATGCCGATGGATGGTGAAGACCTGTCTCGCCCGTGTGGTTTTTGCATCGTGTCTTCGTGTGCGTTGGAAAGGTCATGTTCCATCCATCCATGTGGCAAAACATGTCGTCTCAAGCGCGCCATGTTCGATGCTTGCTGACACTTCGATGCTTGCCCTTTAGGGGCAAGTCTCTGCAAAGCAAAGTGGTCACCCTCTCATCCTGGGCAAAACTTGCACTACAAAGTGGAAGATGGAATGCCTCGTCCTCTGTGGGCAAGGTACTGATGTTTGAGTTGAGTCTCCAGCGTCAATATGACATCTTCAAAAGCTAAGGTTCTTCTAGGAGCAAGGACGCTACTAGGGGCTCCTGGCATCGCGACTAGGAACAAGGCTGCTACGAACGGAGCAGGTCAGGGCATCGCTACGAAGGGGGGTTCTAACTGCTAGTTGTACCACTGCACTGCACTGATGGATTCCATGGATCTCCGGGCCAACTTCAGGGCACGCGAAAGCGCTCAGAGAGTGGATTCCAGCTTCTGGACTCCATGGCCGCCTGGTTGCGCGCAGGAGGATGGGTGGTTGGGGGAATCCGACCGAGGTGTTCCGGGCACTCCTGGTGTTCGGGATCCGACCTTTAGGCCAACACATCGTCCAATTCCAAGCTCCTTACAGTACTGATTCCAAAGGAAGATCAAGCAAGAAAAAAACACCTGGTTCCGACGAGGTGGTCGGCCGTGGCATATGTCATGTGGAAAAAACACCCCTTTCCATAGACACAGGGTTCCAAGAACACAGGGGCCGACCAAAGAAATGGGAAGCATATGGAAACATATATACCGGGATTGCTATGTAATTATTCCCTTCTATCTATCCCATTAAAACAAACAAACAAACAAACAACAACAACCTGTAATAGGCCAAGTATGGCCAAGTCCTATGGAAAATAATGAGAGGACCAAAGAAATTGGGAGCACTCCTGGGCTGAGGATGCTGAGGATCCGAGCTCTCCGAGATTTGCTTCTGGCAGGGCACGCACAGCTCGAAACGTAGCCCCGTCTGCTCTGGACACGTTGGACATGCGTAGAACTGCGAGGGCGGGGGGAAAAATGGCAGACATCCAGGGCATGGCAAGAGAGTTTCCCACAAGCAGACGTGATCGTGAATCATCAGATCAAACACGGTTGGATAGTCGAGTGTTATCATGTCTATAATATTCAGTCTTGGTGTCTTACAGTGATGCAATCTGCGAAAACCAGCAACAACACAAACAAAAGCATCCATTTCAACCATGAACATCCTCACTTCACCTTAAAACAGCTGATGTCTGCATTAATTGCAAAAAGCACCATCATCTCCTGCCTCGTTCGAGACGATGTAGGTCTTCCTCGGGCATGTTTCAGGAAGCGGTGTTCAGCAAATGGACCCAATCCACTCAAAGCACATGGCGAAAGTATCGGAGTCCATGGAAGTTTGGCATCCCCGGTCCGGTGTATCATTTTGTATACTGTATACCTGTGTGAGCTTATCAGCTGATGTAAGACATCGATTTCAGCGGAAACCATTGGAAACCCATCATTGCTTATGAAGACTTTGGCAAAAACAGTCAAGTTGAATTCAACATTTTGTGAAAGTAATTGACAAGAATTGAACTAACATGATCCAAAGCTGGCCAGAGCAAGGAAGCACCACAATCAGCCTCACAGCGGTGGGGTTTGATAGGGAGGCGAATGGTTCTCCATGTGAAACCAAGTGGCTTGTGCGGATTTCCCTTCAGCCTTAGCTAAGCTCGCGAAGCAACGCAACACGTGTTGACCACCATCGGATCTGGAGCGAAATGTCTGATCTTCGGTCCGTTGGAGTACTGGAGCTGGTCCATCTGGAGTACTGGAGCTCCCTAAACTGGCTTCAGTATGCTTCAGGCATTTCTCCTTGACAGTACCCTTTCAAGCCCTTCAGCCGATTCTTAGCTGGAGTGGATGTTGTTTTTGGGGGGATGCAGCTGCTCGTGCATCATTTGGGAAAGCCTTACAAAGTCCCGAGGCTCTGGCTCCTGGCCTTTCTTTTCAGGTCCTGGGAAGAGCAGCCATGGAGCACCAAAAGACTTTTGGGTCAAGACCAGTTCAATTGTCGATGGATACAGGACCACTTAGTCGATGAAAAGCAGGCACTCCATGTATGCCATATATTATTATGCCTACATTGGGTTTGGGGATCAATGGGGCGGTATATATGGCGGTCCCATGAATTGTCTGGGTGTTGCACATATACAGTGCCCATCTTCCCGCATCTAACGCTGCCTTCTTTCTTGCTGCTCTTGTCTGAAGCGCCTGACGGGCATTTCCGCCGCGTGAAAAATGAAGTCAAGGTCCCCTAGACAGCTCAACCGAATCAAAGCGCGTGGGGTTTTCCTCCGTGCCCAGGGCCCCCCCCAAGACTATTCATGCCTCGTCCGACGACGACGGAGCCACACAAATCACAAAGGACTCGGTGAAGATGAGGGGAGCCTCACTGAAAAAAAAAACACATGGAAAAACACACTTATCCAAAAAGAACATGCAAAGCTTGGTGCCCAATTGACTACTTTAAATATTTGATGTTCATGGTTGGATGCTGCTCTGATTGGATGCCATCCGGCATGACGTCCTCTTCGGCAAATGGAATGTGTCAAATTGATGTCCGATCTTTTGGGCTCCCAGGCTGGGGTATGCATTCTCAAGGCTTTGACGTCGGATCAACGAGCGGTGCCTTGTGCAGTCAGCGAAGGCAAAGCATGTTTTTGTCAATGACAGACAGTGCATTCAGTAGGTATATCAGTATAGGGGGAAAAGCATGGACAAGTCTGAGTCAATGATGGAATTCCATTATGTTGGCTCCAAATCCACGGGGCAAGGCATATGCTGAGGGCCAAGCTGACATTTCAGGTAGTGAGGATGGAAGCCATTGCCGCTATATTTTCCTCCAGGACTCCACAAACTTGCATCATGGTTCCATCTATTATTGGTCTTTCGCTGCGGTCTTTCACTTTCACTTTCGCCAGAAATCAAGAATACTACTGTAATTTACTATAGGCTATAGGTATATTATATTGACCATCCAAAGTGTTTGAATGGAGCTCTCTCAGTAGCGTAGGGTAGATCGTTCAAGAACCCTTGGATGTTGACCACGTCATTGTTTTTTGTTTGTGACATGTTTCGACCATTGGTCGAAGGTACCCACTACATCCGGTCGCCTTCTCCTTGCAGGATCTCCAAGACGTGGCAGGCCACGCAAAGCTCAAACCTGGCGGAGTGCCCGGGGGGCGCCTGGGTTCGGCGCCCTCACAAACTGGTCCAACCATGGCGGACGATTCGGCGGACGATGCAAAAGGCAAACAGTCACTGCCTTCGGCCACTTCTCTTGCACTGCCTGCAGTAGTAGAAGAAGCGACCTCCTGAGGGGCGACAACAGCCACCAAAACAAGGCCCAGGGACCAGGGATCCAAGTCCCTGTAGAGAAGGTTGGACGCTTCAAAAGTGCCCACCCGAAAAACGTCGGAGTCACTGCCCGAGATAGTGAAATGGTGAAAAGACACTGCCCAGAGTCACACACACACAATCACACACACGCGCAGTACTATTCCATCCTGAAAAGCATTGAAAATCTATCGTGAGATAGGGACAGATCTCCCAGGACCGTGCAGATTCGTGCAGATTCACCATGCTTCCCCCCCCTATCACAGAGCTCGTTCGCTTCGTCGCGAAGCTCTCGTTCGGTTCCCATGTGGTGGGGCGGTCGGCGCCATAGGGCGGTCGAACCGTTGGAAACCGAATGCATCGCTCCTGGCTTATCAGCATCCGCCAAATGCACTCCGCAGTTGTCGCAACTCACCTTTTCGCGCAGAGTGAAGGGGAGCGGCTTCCTAGGGATGAAGGATGATGAAGGGTGGGATTTCGTGCCCTGCGGTGTACCCACCGTGACCGGCTGTTGTGATGTTTCTTCTGCTGTATAGTATAGGTAAAGAACAACACCATCAAATCGGGGCCAAGCTGAATACCCCTGAATGGCTCAATTTAGGAGTCCAAAACCTTCGGCTGGGCTGGGCTTGTCATCGAAATGGCTACAGCTTCGGGAGTAACGAGATGGAGCCTAGACCCCTTCTTTCACCCGGGCTGCGCAGCAAATGGGATTTGGCAAAGCCTAAAGGACTCCGACCAATTGTTAATCAGATTGAACAAGCTCAGGGTTAATTGTGAACCCCAACAATTCATCGGATATATCGGATGATCTCGGGCTACGGACTGTCATTCCATCACTTCTAACGACTGACTGTGCTTGCCATCCTCCCCAAACCCCAAATCCGCTCTGCGAGATCCTACCTGCTCGACTTTGGCAATCGTTCGCACACGCAAGGCATCCCCTGCCGCAGGCCGCAGGGCGGAGCGTGCGGAGAAAGGCGCTCGAGAAGGAGCGCCATGTGTGCTCCGAGGATCACAACAAGCAGCTATAGCCCGGAGGCAAAAAGGAGTCTATATGACCATGGACGGTGACGGGTTTGATTGGATTAATATGATACAACATATATTGATATTTAAAAAAACACACATCAAGTGAGAAAACACTGCAGCGGACATAGTGAAAAACTTGTTGCTCAGCTGCTGTGCCCTTTATTGGCTACCTATAAGGGAATCATCAGCAAATCACAGCTCTGGAGTCTGGCTGCATCCATGAAGCTACGGCTCAAAAATGGGGTCATGTCATGACCCTAATAGATCACCTTTTCTACAGTGTGTGTATATATATATATATATTTAGTTAAGGAATGTTAAGGATCTATGTGATGCACTTCTTCTTGACCCACAAGGTCCCTCCATCCTCCCCTTCTTCAAACTCCGCAGTTCCTCCTGTCATTGAACTGAATGCCCCAGCCTGTTCCTCCCAGCAGTTGCTCCATGACCGTCGGCTTGTCACGCTTCTGGCCCCGAAAACCCACCTCCAAAAACGGCCGGCGCCGGGGCTGTGGTCATCGATGATGTCAGCCGACCGTTTTTTGAGGTGATTTGTTC